TCTGGTAAAAATGGGTTGATTAAGGGTTTTTTGTCGATAGAAAAACAATATCAAGTCTTGAAGATGTCGATTTCGAAAAACTAGAATAGCTACTAGAAAGAAAAAACAATTTAGAAGTTTTAAAAAAAGAGTAGCTAATAAAGACGATCTTTGTATTGCGCTATGGAAGAGTAGAAAATAGAGATTTTTGCAATTTCATCAAAAAGTACTCTAAGACCTTCTAATTTGGAGAATGATCAATAGTTTACAATTGAACTGTTAAGGTTCCAAATGGAATGTCACTGCAAGAATAGCTAAAAGAAAAGTAATCAATTTCAAATTTGTTCATTCAGATTTTTTCCAAATCATATAACGGTTTCTGCAGAGAAAACGACACATCTTGTTTGTTTCTCTTAAATGTATAAAAGTTGAGTATGTAGTTCTAATAATCTAGTGATAAATAATATTCGAAGAGTATAATATATCTATAAAGGAACAACTATGATTGAAATGTCGATCTTATAAACAAAAAAAAATGATAATCTCAAGACCATGAAAAAGTAGTGTTACTCAAGGCTTGTGATCGCTTGTCATGATTGCAAATTAAGGTGGGTTTATTTACTAGATGTCGAATGAATACCATCATTTCTATCTGCCAGTTCTCGACTTGCCGTATATATTTGATCATTTTGTCAGCTAAACATAACGTCAACAGAAAAAATTTTCATCACTAAAGAAAATTCTTTTGTTATCATCTTCCTATAACGTTTTTTCTAATTATCATTTGACTTTGGCAGGATCATTATGTGCTATAGATGAAGATAGAGGTTCTCTTTAACTGTTCATCTTAAAAAGCATCGTGATGTATTGAGTTGACGCCCAATTCGAGGTAAATTTACTGTCAATTTCGTCAATAATGATTTTTTTGACCTGCTATATTGCATTTTTGCACAAGTTTCTCTATTATTACAGGCGATTTTTACAATCGAATGTTTGCAATTTTAATATCTAGCGCCCACTAGCGTTGAGTTGTACATCGATCAAATTCATATATATATATATATAAATGCCCCTTCGTCTGTAATCATGATAAGCGATCACACGTTTTGAGCAACACTACTTTTTCATGGTCTTTGGATTTCATTTTTTTTATAAGATAGACACTTCAATCATAGCTCTTTCTGTATAGATATGTTGTACTCTTCGAGTGCTATCTATCATTACATATTATTAGAGCTACATGTTCAACTTTCATACATTTGAGAGAAGCAAACAAGATACGCCATTTCCTTTGCACAACCCCTTACAAGTCACACTAGCAACATTCGTGAGTTTTATAATCATTCTAATTCATTCCTAATTATAATCGTACTAATATTCTATCTATCATTCGTCGAAATAAATAAACACTGAAGGTTAAATATTGACCAGTTTCGCAGCACTATATTTTGAAACATTTCCATCAACAAAAAAACGTATTAACGAGCATTCAAACTTACACATATAAATCTATCGTTTACAATCTTGATCATACTGAACATTAAATTTCATAAATGACTTCATTCCTCAGTTGATTTTCTAGCATTATCATTCGAATAACTTATGCATATGTGTCATGTACAGAAACAAAAATATATGAGTGAAAGAATAATTTTCTTCTGTTTTCAGTGAAACTAAGAAAATCTGACAAGAGTTCATGATTATGATTCTTCATTCCTGATATGTAGTTAACGCCATGACAAAAAATTAGGTGTCTAAGGGTTTTTTTCAGATTATCATTCATATATATGTATATTAATAATAATACTATTGTGATCCTTACTAATTAACCCTTTCGAGTCGATGTGACCCACCGGTGGGTCACACTACATTTTAAAGTCAATGGGTGACCCAGAAGAAATGGCCGCACTTTGCATTTCATATTTTTATCTTTAAATACGTTTTATTAAAAACACAGCATATACCATAAGATGCAACGTGAAAAGCTCTACAATCCACATCGTAAAGCTTATTTCAATTGTGTACTTTTTATTTTCAAAACAAGTAAAATTCTGTACGATCAATTGTCGCAACCTCAAAAACTGGTCACACAAAGTTTTACTTTTTTTTGGAAACACAAAGTATACAATTGAAATGAGCTTTACTATGTAGATTGTAGAGCTTTTCATGTTGCATCCTGTGGTATATGTTGTATTGTAATAAAACGTATTTAAAGATTAAAATATGAGATGTGAAGTGTGGCCATTTCTTATGGGTCACCCGTTATTTTCTAGGAAAATCGAATCGATTCGAAAGGGTTAAATGCCTATTGATTCTGGCTATGGTTGCGTCTTTTTTTGTGTATCTATGATAAATGTATTCATCTCTCATTATAATCTTAGTATTTTTTAAAAGCAAGCATTGTGATAACTTGTTGATAAAAGATCAGATTTGTTCTATTATTATGGAAACAGACGATAATAAAACTATTGAGATGTGAGAGAGAAACGACGGCAAGTTGGAGAAGCTATTATAAAATTCTCGATCGTCATATAATTTTCTCTGAGATTTCATAGGGCATAACAACATTCAACATTTTTTCAGCATGGGAAACTACAGGATCTCATGAGATACAACAGAATTCAATATTTTTCTACTATTGGAAACTGTAGTATGCCATAAGATACAACAAAATTCAGCTCTTTTCTAATACGGCAAACTGTAGAATCCCATAAGAGGAGACAACAAAATCCAACATTTTTCTACTACAAAAAACTATGAGTTCTGACGTGAGAATTTATGGAATCCGATTCCATAAAATCCTATTGAAATCCCAGACAGCACATTTCTATAGAAATTCCTAGGAAATCATGGTTTCGTATAGAAATCGATGGGATTCCACCATAGGATTCAATTGTGATATTTTTCCATCTGAGTATAATTACGGCGCAATTTAAGCGTCATCGAATACATGGGTTTGATCTAAGAATTGAAATGTGAAGTGACACAAATATGGTCAAAGATTTACTCATGTGACACTCCTCGTTTATAAAAAAAAATGTCTGTGGATATTTACGTTAATCAAAATGCATGAACTTCCTAGAAAGTCAAATAATAGAAAACTTTTTTATTTTGTATATATTCATCAAAAAATTTCATGACTTTGACGAAGTTCAAAAAATTAAAATTACTTTCACTATATTTCTTTTGTCAGCTCTGCAACATCAAACTCACGACACTACTTTCGAATTGTTTTTCATAATGAAATAACATGATTTCTCTCGAACAGCTTCACCCTAACTTGTTAAATTAGGATAAAGATACATGGATAATTCCTTTGACTACGTGGTGAACTCTTGAATAGAGTATCACGACGATCGATTTCGCCTCTCATCAGTCGTTGAAAAAATGATGAAAATTAATTTTTGAGGCGTTCAAGCGATATAAACAGAACGAAAGTACTGCCTTTTCGTTCATTGGTTTTTTTAAAATTTCTTTCACTTAAAAAAATGATTATTTTCATACAATTTTTGAACATGTACACAGCATAACTTTAATGAGAAAAATAATCATTTGGTATGATTTATTCAATCCAAAAAAGACATCAATTACTTTTAAAGAACATTGATTAAAGTATCGATTTCGATTTTTTCCTGACTCTATAATTATTTCTCTGTGGATATTTTTTTTTTATTGTTCTGATGTAAGATTTATTATCTTTTGAATTCTTCAGTTGTAGACAATTGAATGAGAAAAATCTTTAGATAAAGATTAAATTCTGACAATATAATTTAACAGAAATATCTATAAAATATTGAGACTATTATGCTTTATAGAACATTCTACGATTTAGTAATAGTTATGTGACCATATTGAATTGCTTTTCTTCTTATTTGTTTATTCGTCGTCTTGTAACAATCGACGACCATTCTTAGATATTCAAAAGAGAACGACTACAATTTGAAAACAAGAAAAAGAGATCAATCTATCTCTATTTTCATCAGTATTGAAGGACAGTAGTGGAACGATAATCGCACATCTTTCGTGGTCTCATTCCTTCTCTCTTTTCTTTCGTCTGTTTCGTTCTCTTTTCTCTCTCCTATATAAGCACTTGCTCTACATAAGAATGGCACGATTTGTGATGTGAAGACACCCAATAAAGCGATTGCTCTCTTGGGCTAATACTTCCACTATCCTTTTCGTCACAAGTAGTAGTAGTACATCATCGTCATCGTTATTAATTATGACTCCAATAAAAAAAAACAACCACAAAACGCCTTTGCTCATAGTCTATTACTTCAAGTTCTGTAGTAAAAAGAAAACAAAATATTACTTTCATTTGTTTGCCTTACTAAGTTCTCTTGTATCATAGGAACTATGCAAGTCAACGACGTCTGGTTACAAAAACATTCATCAGTTCAATAAACTATAAAAAGGGTGGGATGTGGGTGCGTATGGGTGTGGGGTGTGGGTGGGTGTGTGGGTGTGCTGTTCGTATGTGTATCCACACACTCACACATCCACACCCACACATCCACATTTTTCTAATTACTATTTCAGAAAAACTAAATAATTCAAGTCTAACTTTGGTATGTATTTATATAACTTGGAGCTCGTAAATGTAAATTATTTATTTTCTTTACTTATATTCTTGCTTGATGTATTCTACGGAAGGAGAAAAAGTAGAAGTACAGAGGTTATTGTAACCCGCAACCTGAAAAATAAATGCATTACGAATAAAAATTTTTCGTATGGCTCGACTTGTTGGTATTCAAGGGAAAACCTTATATTAGAAGACATAATATTTTTTTCTTTTACTAGTCATTGATCTTTCTACTAATCCTAAAAAAATTTTATTCAAGAAAAAGCAGAGGGATTTATTGTGCCAATGATTTGTTTTGATTTTTATTGCTTCCCATTTACTTTTGAAGATATTGATGTATTGAAATGTTTTGAAATACTAAATGTAACTAAGGACTACTCTTTCTCTTATATTATGAAGTTTAACATTTATTTTTTTACTTATTTAGGCAATTCTCGAAATGAATGATAATTTGTCTGTCATCTGTGAGCCAGGTGATACACAAATCGTTGATCGCAGCTTCCGCAACGTTGCAGGTGTATTCGAACAATTAGGATTTGCTCTTAAAATGCCGGGATTTCTTAAAACAGGTGCTAAGCAACTTGATTCTGATCAAGCAAATGATACGAGAATGATCACCAAAACAAAATGGGTAATTGAATCCTTTCATTCACAATTTAGAACATGGAGATTTTTTTCCGAGCGAATCAGTCAAGATTTTCTTCTTGATATCGATATACTCGTTAGAACTTTAGCAGCAAACTTAAATAAATATCGACCTCGTCTTTTTTATGGAAAATCAGCTGGTGATTATGCTTTAGCAAATAAAATGTTATTGATGAAAAACAAAACAAGTCACCTCCAACAGTTAATATCTAATGGTGATTTATCCTTAAGAAACAATTGGAAAAACATACTTCATATTGATAATAATATTGATTTTCAATATTTAACACTTGATTTTCTTCGAGAATATACATGTGGAATTTACCAGATAAAACAAAGTTCGGCTTATGCAAAAGCACATTTATACGATCATGATGGAAAATTTGAATTTCAGGTTTCATCTTCTGAATGACCCCATTCTTCGTTGTCGATTACATAGTAAGCATTCAAGTACAACTTTATATTTGTTATTGAT